GACAGAGACAGGCGGATCTCTGTGAGTTCGAGACCAGCCTGGTCTACAAGAACTAGTTCCAGGACAGGCTCCAAAACCACAGAGAAACCCTGTCTCGAAAAACCAACCAAATAAATAAATAAATAAATAAATAAATAAATAAATAAATAAAAAATAAAAGACAGACATGTAGTAGAAACCAACTCCAGCAGCATAAACATTTTCCTAAGGGTGTGCCTGTAATAAAAAAGCATTTATTTGGGAACAAGGTGATGGGGTCTGTTAAGGGAGTCAGTCTCTCAGAAATAGGAAGTTGGCGAGAGAACCGTGACCAAACACTGACCAAAGTATATGAGCTGTGACTCAGCTGTGCTCTTTCAGCCCTGCTGAGATAATTTTGTCCCCATAATCAAGATGTGACAGGTGTGAGTGGCCTGCCAGTCTCATGTGAAATCTAAAGTATTGGAAGCAGTCTGGGTCTCTGATGGACTCCGTTAATACCAACATTGGTAATCGGTAGAACATTGAACATGTTTAGACAGGTTCTTTTGAGTAGTTTGAGACAGGACATTGCTCAAAGTTCACCCCAGGTGGACCTGGTTTAAAACTTGTTCTTAACCACATAGTGGTGGTGCACACCTTTAATCCCAGCACTTGGGAGGCAGAAGCAGGTGGATCTCTGTGAGTTTGAGGCCAGCTTGGTCTACAGAGTCAGTTTTAGGATGGCCAAGGCTACACATAAAAACCCTGTCTTAAAAAACAAAGCAAACACAGCAACTTGTCCTTAAATGTCTTCTTATTTCTTGAAAATATTTTAAGGTATTATTAGATGAACCATATAAAATATTTTGGTAGATTAGAAATGTCAGACAGGCCAGGCATGGTGATAACACTCCTGTGGTGATACACTCCTGAAATCCAAGCCTTAGGAGAGCGGAGGATGTACTTGAGGGCAGGGGCATCTTAGCAGTTTCTATGAGCGATTTAATAAAAGTCAACCTAACTACCTGTAGGCTTTGAGATGGTAGGTTTTTTTTTTTTTTTAAGATGGGAATCCAGGTCAAATAATTAATTTTGACATTAATCTTGACAGTGGGATTGACCATTATTGTTATGATAATTTTACCTTAATTTGAGTCTTTCATTTATGAGTTATAAGAAAATTTACAATGCTGAGAAAGCAAGCATTAGCCCTATGTTTATCCAGTTTTATAGTGGAAGTTACAGGACCAGTGACCACGCTTCCTGCTTATGTGTTACACTGCTACTCATTAAAATTGTAGCAGCACAAAATTATTTTTCTAAGCTGTTGCAGTATTTTCTGCCATACTTGCTTCCTAGGGCTAGGTGTCAAACTATAAGTGGATGTCTTCAGAACACAGTCAGCCTACCAAAAGGTATTTGGAGTAACAAGATAATCTGTGTTGGGACTTTTGCTCTTCCCTGGGTTTAACCATCAGTCCCCAGTTTGGGGGACTAAGGCATTATGCATTGCTCTCAGAAAGAAGCTTTCCTTAACATAAAAATATTCTTTTGCTATTAATCCTCTGTTTCTCCATCTCAAATGCATTCCTTCAATCTTAGTCAGAATTATGGAAAAATTCCAGAACACTTAACTTTTTCCCCATGATCAGATAAATCCGGTTTTAAAAACAAGAGTGAAAGATATGTTAAATTTTTGAGAGACAGGGTGTCTCGTAGACAGTTCTCAGATGTGCTTTATAGCCAAGGCTGACCGTGAACTGACAATCCTAGGATTAGGACTGCAGGCGTATGTTTGCAGGCATGTACTATGACATCCTTGTCCCCGTTAGATACGTGCTGAGGACTGTATCATCTACAGCCACCTACAGTGCTCCACCTCCATAAGAGGGCACACTCACGGAAGAATGTAGACCAGGTAGTAGTCTGGCCTCAAATGTATAGCAATCCCTGCGTGTCAGAATTGTACGTGTGCACCACCACGATGGCTCCATTCTGCTTATTTTCCCTTATCTGCTGGTTATTGTTTGTCTTGCCCTCTGACTAGAACTCACCACGTAGCACAATCTGGCTTCAAACTCACCGTCTTCCTGCAGTAGTTCCTGAGTGTGGGATTATAAATGTACTACCAGCCACTACCATACCCAGCTCAATCTTGCTTTCTTCTAAGTAATGCTCGTGTGTGTGATGCAAATGAGCATGATTTAAAAACCGGTTTTATATTCACATATGCACACATGACTCTTATTATGCAAATTCATTTAAAAGGATTTTCATTTACAGTTAATGGAAAAGCTTTTACTGTATTGGGAAAGCTTTAAGGGAATTTGGGCCACCTGATAACTTACAAATGTAACTGACTATTCTCGATAACTGAAGATGAGTATTACAATTTTTGGATTGTGTTTGGAAGCACCTTCTAGTTGGAAGTGTCTCTTGGATTTGACTCCTTAAGCTGTGTGTTGAGAGAGACTTCAGCTTAGCCTTCCTTCTTGTTCTGCCTGCTGCTGATAATGCTCTTTGTCTTTTCCTCCTTGGGCTTCCCTTAGCTTGGCCACTGTGTAAGTACTTCATGCATTAATAACTTAGGATGTGTTCAACTATTTTTATTGTTTTCAAGTGTCAAAACCATGCTAGTTTATGGGTCTCTGGTACAAATACATCACTAAAAATAGTTGCAAAATGAACAGAAGCAATCACCATATGTCATTTGCATTTTCTGTTTCTGTGAATGGGATTTATATATATATAATATATGTATATATATATATTAGTGATAGAGTGTAGGAATTTTCTTATACAATTTTATTTCTCCACAAAGAGCCATTGTCAGCACATAACACCTGAAAAAAACCAAATGAACTTGAGCTTATCGTCTTAAATTTGCCTCCTTTTCATGCTCTGAATATCACGTGTCTCTTGAGCCATTTGTTTGAATGGCTTCTACTTTAGTTTGGGCATTTTGTGCTAGGCAGATTTGCTTCAAGGGATAGCAAAGCTGTAACTAGGGCACTGTACCACAAGAGCTATTTATGGTGAAGAATCTGCTTTTCTTCCTCTCCTGTTTACTTTTAAAGTTGGCAGTCTTCAAGTGACACTTTTATAAAATATATTTAGAATCAATTCCTAGAAATACCTACACAGACAAAATATACAAGCCTTCCGTTTTTATTGTTATGTGTAATAGGCCTACAATTGTTACTAGGGTCTCTAAGGAATTTATTTAATTTCTGTGGTTCTGCTTCTTCCTCATGATTGTTGACTGCATTGGTCCATGAGGGTAGAGGGAGCAGAAGCAGGGAACAGGATTCAGACAGCTGTGGGTGTGATTGAGAAAGCTCTCCAGGAGACGACTTCAATCAATCAATCAGCTCAACATTATTCCAGAGTATAAGGAGTATATAGAATTCGGAAGCCTGAGGACAAACCCTAATTTGCCTTAAGTGGCACACACCTATCCCAAGGCTTTGTATGTGGCAGTTGGGTTCTATGGCAAAACTCCTTGCACAAGTCTTAGTTACCACACGTGCAGCAGGGGAGGCTCCTAGCTGGAAACTGTGTCAAGGGTCACCAAAGAGATAAATCAAGCATCCAGGCTTAGAGACAGCTTTCAGATAAGGCCAGCGCTCCAGGCCCAGGGACAGTCTCCAGATTAGGACAGGCAGAGAGAAGGGCCGGTAGAGAGGAGGAAGTGACCTGTGAGGAGGGAGCACCCATGTCACCAAGCTTTGGGAAAAGCTTCCAGGCCATGATAGATTGCAACCTCTGATCAGCCAGCAAGGCCTCCCAATAAATTTCTGCCTTACCCTAGACCAGAAACACACTGTTTATAGATGTGTATGAGCCTACTGGTGGTTCTTGGAACAGCATAGTTCTAGGGGTCTCTAGAGCTGCCAAGGAGGAATGGAGAGATGTCTCAGTAGTTAAGCAGATGTGCACATGTACGCTTGTGCACACACACACAGAGTTTTTAAAAAATTAAAAGAAAAACTAAAAATCCTTAAAACTTTATGTAGGGAAGCAAAAAACAGACAAAGTTTGTATAGAGTTGTCACGGTAAGACAGGCTTGGCAGGTGTTGGTAGAAGCCGAAGCACACAGAATATAACTGGCAAAGCGCAGCAGTTCCTTGGCAGCTTTGGAATCTGCATCTGAGAGACCATTGGCCGTGGGTTCAGAATATTAGGGGAAAATGGTGTGTACACTGAAAAGACACAGGCTGTTCTCCTTGTCACCAGCCCTTGAACAATGATGCACAGAAGCTCCTCACATGGCATTGTTCAGGGTTGAGTGTTAGAGGTAACGTTAAGGGAGATGTATGTACCTCACATGCAGCTCCTATGTGTTCTATGCACACAGGATTTGAGCAGTGCTGGACTGTGGTGTCTACAGGAGGCCTGGGAACCAACCCATCCCTATGGACATGGCCACTGGAGAGTGAGGGGAACTAGGGAAACTCTTCCCCTGTAGGACTGGTCTCTGTTGTCTGGGAATAGGCAGATTAGTCTCTTTGAGAGGTCTTCCTCTGGGTGACTCTCACCCAAGGCACCTGACAGCAATTTGCTATCACCTTAAAATGTAAGAATAGTGGAATTTCCTTACATAGTCCAGGACAAAGGGTGACCCCGGAGATCTGTGCTTAACATGCAGGAGTACACAGCAGAGTTTGTACACAAGGCGTCATAAAACTATTGCATATGAAATAAGAAATGAGGATTCTTTAAATTCCTTTATCAAGTATTATTTGAACAAGTAGAAAATGGTGTCTCATAAATTTATTGTAGAAACTGATATAAATGCTATAAACATGCTTCATGTTCCTGGGCATGTAGTAGGTTCCTAATAAATGATGATTGCTCTTCTCCAGTTAGATAATAAGTTCACTGACGAGGAAGGACTATGGGCACTTTGCATCATGTGGAAGGATTATGGTAGTCGAGTGATATCAGAGTATTAAAAAGATGTGAGAGCCGGGCGGTGGTGGCGCATGCCTTTAATCCCAGCACTCGGGAGGCAGAGGCAGGCGGATCTCTGTGAGTTCGAGACCGGCCTGGTCTACAAGAGCTAGTTCCAGGACAGGCTCCAAAACCACAGAGAAACCCTGTCTCCCAAAAAAAAAAAAAAAAAAAAAAAAACCAAAACAAAACAAAAAAGATGTGAGCACCTCATACACGCTTTGACTTCATAGGGAAAGACTGAGGGCTAGGGAGCTCGTCTCCCATGGCTGCCTTGCTGCTCCTTGGGATGATGAGTCAAACCTTAGAAGCAGAAGCAATGGCTTGAAGTGTCTAAAGGGATTCACTCAGTTTCCAGAAATCGAACAAAAATTCTTGTACACTGACAAACATCGCCTTTCAGTTGTTTTTATTTGGGTTTTGGTGCGGGAGATTGAGCCCAGAGCCTTGAGCATGTGAGATAAGTGCCCTACCACCGAGCTACATCCCCAGCCCTCCACTCAGTAAAGTTAACCTGTGTATCTCCACTGTCTCCCCCTCTTCTTTTTCTAAGAACTTTAGAATTTAACTTTGGATCATGAGCTGTAGCAAACAGTATCATTCCCTTACTATTGATAATAGCATCCTCCCTCCATTTGGAGCTGATAAACCTTTGCTTTTTGGTGGTTTATTTAAGACATGTTGTTAGTACTTTTTCAGCCTCTCCTGTAGCGGGAAGCAGACTTTACCTTGCGTTTGCTCTGTTTCTCTAGCTGAGGTCTGGAGGAGCTCAAGTGCTAGAAGGCTGCATCGCCGAAATCCACAACATCATCAGCTTAGACATCTCTGACAACGGTAAGTCACAAAAGAAACTCAAATGCTCCTGGGACAGGCGAGGAAAGGGAAGGTGGCCCAGTAGCCACAGCCCAATATGCAAAGTTGAAAACAGATCATAAACTATCTTCTATCCTGTGGTAAAGATCTGAGTCTAGCATTTTTAGCGTCTTGGTAGTCATAAAACTCTTTCAATTTTTTTACTTAATTAGCTTCATTTCTGCTGGTTTAGTGGATGTCCTGATCCAGTTAAAACCATGTAGAAAACTTGTATAACAAGTTACCTAACAGTGAGCAGTATGGGGGAGAGGGGAAACTGCTCCAGTATGACTTCTGGATCCTGCAGACTTCGCATGGACACTGACTCTAGAGGGGGCTTAGGTCAGTCCTTGAGGAAAATGAGTTCACCGCTGTGAACTAACTGGACGTGAGAATAAAGGTGGAGGGTTGTGGGGCACCGCGCTCAGCACCAGGCACTGTGTCTCTTCTCCACGTGGGTTCTGAGGTGTCTTCACTCTTCTTTCCAGGGCTAGAATCCGACCTCTCTACCCTGATAGTGTGGCTCAGCAAAAACAGATCCATACAGCACCTGGCGCTAGGCAAAAACTTTAATAATATGAAATCCAAGTAAGAGCTTTGAATTTTTTCTATGACAATGGTGAAAAGAACCAGCCGCCTGACAGCTTTTGATTTGATTCCACTGTCCACGTCTTTAAAATCTCTCTAGGAATCTGACGCCTGTGTTGGACAACTTAGTGCAGATGATCCAGGATGAAGAATCTGTGAGTATCACGTGACACACTTTACTTGTTGTCTCCTTATGATTATTTCTATCAGATTGATGTTGATACGCTTTCAGATAACTTACATGTTTTACATTTTATCAGTTATTTTAAAAATAGGATATGCCTCAGTGGAGTTTTGAATATATTTTAAATTCTATTCTCCAATTCATCAAGAAGATTAAAACTAAGAACTTTAAAAAACATATTACTATTATTATTATTAATGTGTTTGTGTGTGCATGTGTGCACTCAGCTCAGAAGTACCACTGTGTGCTTCCAGAGGTCAGAGGGTGACTCATAGGAGTCATTTCTCCTCTTTCTTCGCGTGGTTCCTGGGGATTTTAGGTTGCGAGGCTTGGCAGCAGGACTTTTACCCACTGGGCCATCTCACTGACCCAAACTGGGAGATTGTCAAAGATGTAAATTAACTCTTAAGCCTATCTACATCCTAACCAGCTCTTCAGATTATCTGGCCGGCTGTATTATTATGTATAATACCCAATACCATATACTATGCCAAGAAACACTATGTTTTCAATTTGGACTTCATCTAGTAATTATACAGAATTTCAGGTAATAAGGTAGTTTCCTGTCATATATATAATTGATTTTATTGAGCTCTACATCTTTCTATGCCCCTCTCCCTTACTTTTCCCTCCCCTTTTACCCTCTCCCATGGTCCCCATTCTCCCAGTTTACTCCGGAGATCATGTCTTTTACCATGTCCCATGTAGATTAGATTCATGTATATCTCTCTTAGGGTCTGCATTGTTGTCTAGGTTCTCTGTGATTATGGTTTATAGGCTGGTTTTCTTTTCTTTTTGTCTAAAAGCCACTTATGAGTGAGTAGATGTGATAATTGTCTTTCTGGGTCTGGGTTCCCTTACTCAATATGATGTTTTCTAGCTCCATCCATTTGCCCGCAAATTTCAAGGTGTCATTTTTTTCTGCTGTGTAGTACTCCATTGTGTAAATGTACCACATTTTCCTTATCCATTCTTCAGTCAAGAGGCATTTAGGTTATTTCCAAGTTCTGGCTATGACAAACAATGCTGTTATGACCGTAGTTGAGTTTCCTGTCATCTTAAGCTACTGCTTGAACTCTGGCTGTCTTCTGTTTTTATGCCTTTTTAGTTGCTTCTGAGCAAGACTTAGATCCGAGTGAAGGTGTTTAATTTCCAATAGAATTCTACTGTGCATAAGAAAAGGAAACTATTTAACTGACAAAGCAGAACTGTCATGAGTTCCTGCACTCGAGAGTAGCCTGTCTTACGTTTGTTTCATTTGATCGATGCTTCTTAAGACTGTGTCCTTTACACAATTTTACTTCATCATGAAACACAGTTTCTAAAATTCAAATCCTTGTTACCATTAAGAAAAACCACACTGTGGGTTGTAGGGTAATTTCTTACACAAATCAGGTGAAGTCTGTCCCTTTCTGAAAGGTAACATTTCTGCTTTTAAACTTCTATCAGTAAATGACGGAAAATTCTGTCATCTGTCAGCTGAATTCCCTAACTGCAGCTGTGAGGCTGTGGATTCGGGCATTTCTGCCCTGCCAGCCCTTTCTGCAGCTAAGATGTGAAAATTCTGTTTTCTTGATAGTCTCACGGGTAACTGTAATTTCTAAACTGTGCTAAACAACTCAATTATTTAATGGATTCTGTTGCTTTACCTCCTCTGCTAATAACCATAGTATTTTGTTCCCCTTAGATTAGATTATTATAGTCAAGGACAAAATTGGAGTTTAATTCTGATTTTATAAATTTAGTTTGACTTTGTCATTTTGCTTTACTAACATGTCAAAGTTCCTGAGATTGGCCCATTTTAAACAGATTTGAGAGCTCAGTGTTACAAAATCATACTTAGTATTCATCTCCAAATATGTGTCTTAGCAAATAACTTAGGAAGTATTTTAGTTTGTAAAGATGATATATATTTCAAGTTCGGATTATTGCTTAAGTGTCTCCCAATTGTTTTTGTAGTTTTAAAGTGTCTTACTTAAAGATAATTTTGATATTTAAAAACACACCTGAAAACACATTTGCAGATGACACGTTTGCTATGTAATTGCGAGTTCTGCTGAGTTACAAGTCTGATTCGTATGTTGATAATAACTCTACGATGAACAATGTTTTTTTTGTGTGTGTGTGTCACTGAAAATGATATGGGTTTTTCAAAAGACAATTACCACCCATTTTTTTTCTTGTACTTATGAGTCTGTAACACAACCCAATTTAAAGTGATTAGCTGTTGAGCCTCATGCATTCAGAGATTCCACAGAAAACTGATTCCTTTGGACCTACTTTTGGTTTTGCTTAAGTAAGAGCTGGGCATTCAGAAGCAACCCCCTCCTTTGATGCTTTGCCCTCTGTGGAACACGTTCCTCGGCAGCCCGTGGAATATCTCAGTCACCCAGAACTGCATGTGAAATTCGGTGGGCAAACCCTGCGTCCTGAGAGTTCCGGTATCTTCAGAAGAAGAAGGTGACAGCATCCGAGTTCATGAGATGGTGACAGTGAGGAGCCAACACGGCAGAGAATCTTTTTTGAAGGACCGCATAGAGACCCATGCTGTGATCCACAGACTAGGATGAGTTTCCCCCAGGAGGGCAACCTGAAGACTGAGCCTTGATTAAACATTAAGCATTCAGGTAGTATAGCTGTAGAGAAGGGCAATGAATCGGAAAAACTGACCTCATAAATATGTATGTCATTTGGGCCCTCCTGTTCCCATTATGGCTCTACCCATTATTCTTAAGTGTTAGTTGGGTTGTGTTAGAATTTGAATGTCGTGATGAGATAGTAATTGGTAGCTTCTTGAACTGGCGCTTTCCTAGTATCGGAAAGAAGCCAGGACAGATGATTTTTGTTGTGGTGGACTAGAGAGTGAAGAAATGGGGAAGCAAGGCTACGGCTTCTGTAAAATGGTGTTGCATGTGCTTTTGTGTATGACGTTAGGTTGCCTGAGTCTGATCACTTTTCACTGTTTTCCATTTATCTGCATGTAAGATACGAAGAACACTGTAGCCACTTAGACTTTCGCCTGAGATTTCATTATGTTAGCCACCACAGTCCCTTTCTCTAGTATCGGTTTGATCCTGACTGATGTGCCGTTGCCTTCTGGTTTGCCCTGGATTGTCTGAGCAGCCGCGTTTCATCTGGATGTCAAGGATAAGGGTGTAGTCACTTAGTCTAACTGAGTTACAGGAGAGTGCTGTATGGATATTTGAGTCTTTCATTTTTTTAATCCTATTCCTGGGTCTGGCCTCAGTTTATCCTCCTGCCTTTACCTCCCAAGTGCTGAGATCACAGGTGAGAGCCACCATGCCTGACTGATGTCTAAGATTTAACTCCACCCCCCTCATTCTGTCCCTTGTACTTCATTGAGAGAGACTTCTTTCTTTTATACACACTGGTGCATGATCAATATGACCTGGTGAAGCACAGGTAGCGTAGTGAGCTGCTTAAGGGAATGAGGTAGACCACTCCACATCACCCAGAAGATGTCCTCAGTCTCCAGGTCTGAACTGGGACTTTTAGTGACATGGTGATGGTGATTCATGCCTTGGAATCCATCCCATTTCATTAAGCTATGCCTTGTCCCAAGTCTTGCAAATGCAGATGCCCACAGGATTAGAGAGACAGCAGAGTAGGTTGAGTGAGCTGGGCACAAGGAAGTGCCGAGCACCGCGGCCCCTGTCTGCGCTCTATGCGCTAGAATCCAGTGAGCTTTGGGCAAGGGGCTGGAGGTTGAGGAAACACATGCAGAGACAGACCAACACACAGACCTTTAATTGCTGGTACAAAAGCCCTTCTTTAATAGCACCATGGAGGCTTAAATACCCTGCAGTCCATGGCCAACAGGTGAAAATCCCATCCTCTGATCCTCTAGGCTAGGCACAGCTTCTAGTAACTTCAACTAGAAGGCTCTAGCAGGGAAGAGCAGCTGAAGGCCAGGATTCAATTAGTCCCAACAAGGAAGAAACCCTGTTAGGAATTTGATCAGGTACCCTGATGACCAGACCAAACCTATGCCCAGCCCGTGTGACTGTCAGTCTCTAGTTTAAGGGAACAGAAGAGGTGCTAGTTTACAGTCGCATAGTGTGTTGTAAAGTAAACAGGCCGTACAGACTGGACTTTTTGTTTCTGAACTGCAGGCATTGCTTCTTATGAAAACCTAAGATAAATTTAGAGTATGATGACCAAAACTGCTCTAGAAGAAGCTCTGTGGGGTAGTGTGATGTAGTTGTTGAGAACATGCTATCTGAAAGTAGCTCATTCCAGCTGGTCCCGATTCAGCTCCTTTCTAACTGTGACTTTGGTTTTTTTTTGTTTGTTTGTTTTTTTTTTTTTTTTGTAAGATGGAATATCATGCACATTATGCTGACTTTGGATTTCTGCTCCCGCTTCCCAAGTGCTGGGATTACAAACTTGTACTCCCCACGCTTCATCCCTGCCGATCTTTTAACTGTGTGACTTTGGCTGAGTTGCTTAACCCTTCTGTTTCTTGTTTGGTAAATTACAGTGACAATAGTGTCCATGCAGTGGATGGCTAAGAGGGTTAAAGGAATCCGCACATGGTCTGGAGAGATGGCTCAGCCGTTAAAGGCTAGTCTCACAAATAAATATGAATCAACACATAAAAAGAGCAGGCAGTGGTTAGATACAGTACATACTTAGTAAATAGTCATCGGTCAAACATTATCCATCTTGGGTGGTTTTTACTTTGTATTTGTCTCTGTGTTTTAGGGTTATTATTTCATTTAGAGAAAAATAAAATGGATAGAAAAGAATAATGCCTCAGTTGGGACACTTTGGATGCTTTGCTGATCCATGTTTTGCCATAGAAGCCCCAGATATTCAGCAGTAAAGCACCTATTCTCCAAGTTTCACCTAGGAGGTCTGTTCAATTCCAGAACCTTTAGGTTCCAGCTTCATCCCCACCCATGGCTTTAGACAGCAGTTTCCAAAGCAGACAATTCAATGGGTCCACTTTCGGTTCTCCATGGAGAGCTGGATAGCGGTTAGTACTTTGATGAGACCGGTCAGTGTTGTATGCTGTTTGCCCTGCAGCCTCTGCAGTCCTTGTCCTTGGCTGACTCAAAACTCAAGACAGAGGTCACCATCATCATCAATGCCCTGGGCAGCAACACCTCCTTGACCAAAGTGGACATCAGTGGCAATGGCATGGGGGATATGGGAGCCAAGATGCTCGCCAAGGCTCTGCAGATCAACACCAAGCTCAGGTAGGCAGGGCTGTCCTGGCCCCGGGAATGGGTGACCTTTCTGGGGAGCCTAGGCCTCCCAGGATACTCACTGGGAAGAAAGAGGTTTCATCATTTTCATCAGAATTCTTACTTGGGACACTCCTGAATGTATATATGGTATTTCCTCAGATGTTTGTCTGTCTTTACAAGTCCTCTGGGATATAAAACCCTGGCAGTGTGCTGTGGTTTCTTTTCAACAGAGTCTTGACAGCTTACCAGGGAGACAATGGCATTGAGAAGCAGGGCAACCTTTGCAGGCCACACTGAGGAGCAGACCCAGGCTGTCTGCATCTTTTAGCGACAGGCCATGTTTTAAGAGAAGCGTCCTTAGGTGTTACAGCTCAGCAAGCACCTCAGAGCATGCTTGCACAAAAGAAGCTGACCGTGAGATCCTTGGGCAATAGAGTTAGTGCTCCATCACCGGCATGTGTCCTTATCTGGTGCATGACCATATGTGGTTGTGAATCTGAGGCCTTTCCTCCACTTCCCACCTCCGTATAACCTTAAAGCACAAGGGTACTAGAAGTGTACTATTCAAAGAATGGTCCCCCATGGGGACTAGTTCTCTGCTCCCAGACTTGCCCTGCATTCTTTCAAACTTTGCGTCTTTGTATCTGATGCTCAGAGTAATTGGGGTTTGTGGTTGGTCTGCCAGTCTGGTGAATGAAGAGCAAATGCCTGTTGCTTTCCCAGGGCTCTTTTTTGGATGCTTCTTTCTCTAGCACGAGACAGAACCAGGAGCCTCTCATTAAGCTGAAGCCACAAGGCAAGAGCAGCGGCAGGAACGCTGAAGTCAGTGTGCCTTAGGGCAGGAGAACAGTAACAGCTGTGGTCTGGGGTCCTCCAGATAATCAAAAGGTAGTTTCTGTGTGCAGGAGAATCCTAAAAATAGCACAGAAGTATACATGTTCAGAGGGGAAGGTTGTGTTTTCCTACAGTAGTAAGTAAACAGCCTCCTATTTTACAGTCTTTACCAACCGAGTGAGTGAAGTTCTCAAGATCACACCACGACAAGGAAACAAGAAAACATGAGATAGACCAGAGCTTTCTCTAGAGGTTGAGGATAGAGAACGTCTCTGTGCCTGAAGATGTTTGTGTTGAACACAGGGCTGGGTAGCATCTTTGGTCGGAGCTTCAGTTTCTATTTGACTTTGAGGATGCCGTAGGGAGGGGAGTAGGGAGACCAAGTCCTTCAGTTTTCTGGCTGGTATGGTCTTAAGAATTTCTATACGTCAACGTTCTTGCTGCACTTTTAGGTGTGGCTTTTCCAAATATAGGTGTGACAGCCATGTTAAGCTATAACGTAGGGGCTGAGAGTATAGCTCAGTGGAATAGTGTGTGCTTAGTATGCATGATGCCCTGGGTTCAACCCCAGCATTTTTGTTGTGATGAAACACATGAATGTTATTCCTTGCTTACATAATGCTATTAAAATGCTTACAGGCCTATCCAGTGTACATCCTGTGGATGGCATGCCACCGCAATCCATCAGAGATAGCTGTGAATTCAGTCAATACATACTCTTAAACTCACTTAAAACATTATGAAATTTCTAAAAAAAATTGACTGCATTGCATGACTTTTGGTCATGAGTGTTGTGTTGGGATTTTAAAAGGTTGGATGTTCCTAGACAGAGCTGATGCAAAGCAGTTTATCTCCTGTGGGATGATCATCTCCACAGCACCTCAGTGTCTGATCATTGCCATGGTTTCATTTCCAAACAGGACAGTCATCTGGGACAAAAACAACATCACCGCACAAGGATTTCAAGATATAGCCGTTGCTATGGAAAAGTAAGTTTTAATTGGGATTCTTCTCTGACACAGCCCTGAAGAACCAATGGCCTTAATGCCTGGAAGAAACCGTAGGTAGAGATCAGAACTTTTTATTTATTTATTTATTTATTTATTTATTTATTTTTTTTGGTTTTTCGAGACAGGGTTTCTCTGTGGCTTTGAAGCCTGTCCTGGCACTAGCTCTGTAGACCAGGCTGGTCTCGGACTCACAGAGATCCGCCTGCCTCTGCCTCCCGAGTGCTGGGATTAAAGGCGTGCGCCACCATCGCCCGGCAGATCAGAACTTTTTAAATGAGCCGTGGAGTTCAGGAGGACAGTGGCTTTGCCCTGATACGAGTTTTCTCATGTGCAGCACAAGGGCCGAGGTGCTGATCTGCCAAAGCAGATGGTCCTCAGAGTCCCTGTTCCTCCTGCTTCTGTGGCCCACAGTCTCTCTGCACCGGGTTTACTCTTCTGTTTATCTGTACAACATGGGTGGGAGGGGGAGGTGAAGGTAGGGATGGGAGAGTTATCTATAGTCCAGAAAATAAAAGTGAAATTTGATTAATGGTGAGTCCCAAGCTTATTTTATTGCTATGATTTTTTTAATTGTAATTGATAGCTACAATTGTTATTTGCTGCCAAATGTATTTTTCTGATCAAAGAAATAAAAAAAATAACAATACTAGACACGGATGAAAATAGCACTAGACTCCTCTCTTTTCTATTTTGTCTATTGTCGGACTAAGAAATTATTACGAGCATCTCCAAAGCAGAGAAGTAGTTTTAGCGCTCACCCAGAAGAACAAAGCATCACATGGAAATGCTTTTGTAAACCTTGAGCGCATTCACAGAGGTTGAGGCAAGGTAAAGAGGGAAATTTCACTGAGCTTACTGGACCCGAAGGTTGTTGGTCTTGGGGACCTGAGACAGAACTTGACATTAGCTCATAGATGGAGGTACTGTTGCCAGGCAAGCGTTCCAGAGCATCTCAACTGCTGTAGCCTTAAAAAATGTTAAAGATGACATTTTCTTACTGGAACTTTTGCACATGGACCATGGTGCTTCTAAGATGGGGAGGAACTGTATCACTGTTTGCAGGCAGGAACCCTCTACCTGTCCTCAATAATCTCCGGGTCTAGTGTGGATGGATGCAGCAAGAGAAGGGCCTGGCTGCTTTCAGATTTCAGAAATGCTCTAAGTAGATCCTCAGCCTTTGGTGGAAGATGTTCTAAAACACTGGGAGATGGGGGCAGCCACGGACAGCCCCTTCCCCAGGAAAGGAAGGAAATTCTTCCTATCCAAGATCACTGCCCACCCCAATTTCCTGGTGGGAGGAGCTTCAGATTCAATGTGCTGTCTCCAGCTCCATCAGCGAGCACGTGGCCTATCTCACTTTTCCAGTTATCCTATTTTTTCAAGGGAGAGAATCAGAGTTAACGTTCTTCAAATACTTTCTTTTTTCATTTGTTTCGGCTTTTTTGAGACAGGGTGTCACTGGGTAGCCCTAGCTGGCCTTAAGTCACAGAGATCCACTTGCTTCTGCCTCCTAAGTACTGAGATTAAAGATGTGTGCCCCATGACCAACTCCAAATACCTTCTGCTTGAGCCAGGAATCAGAGTGCAAAAATCAGAAGGATTCATTTCCTAGTCCCCCCACTCCCCACCTTTTGAGACCATGTCTTGCTATGGTAGACCATGCTGGTTTCAGACTTGCAAAAATCCCCTTGCCTCTCTCTGCCTTAGAGTCCTGGGATTACAGGGCAAGTACTATGCCTGGCTTCCTTGTTTGTAGTAACACCAGGTTGTTGCAGACTGTGGGAAAGTAGCTTACCATATCACGGTACACCATCTCCTCCCAGAGCTGTCAGTGACTACAGAACCATCTGTGTCTGCTGCTGCTCTGTCCCTACAGGAGGAACAGGGATCTTTGCTGTGTTCACATCCCAGCAGTCATCCCCAATCACATGGAACACTGTCATCCCAGGCTGGCATTTAAGAGAAGCCAGGAACGCACCCTCTCAGTACTCAACATGGAAACGCCAGGTGGATGCTGGTGTCTCTGGATCAGTCAGTCATGGCTGCCGTGCTCCAAGATGCCAGCTTTTCCATATCACTGTTGTTTAAATAAACCATGCAGGTCTGGAATGTGGTAAAAATTGGATGCAGGAAAGATTATAAAAAGATTTATAGTTTTTTTTTTAATTTCACTTGGCTGGTTCCTTTTATAAACAAACAACTATGCAACACATAAAACAAAGATAAAAATTAAAGTTGTAGGGATGGCAGCCCTTCCTTTGTTTAATTCTGTATTGAAGTACTACTCTATCTCGTGGACTGGATGGCTCTTTTCTCTATGAGGAAACAGTGATCTAAGTTGTTGCTGCTAATAAAATGATTTTTTTCTTGATTATTTTTTATTGCTAGTGACTTATTGCTGGGGGGGGGGGTTAGTTGCTAAGCCACTCCTCCAGTGATAGCCACCTAGATGTCCATGAGACTTTCAGTTCCTCACTATTTGGAGATCTAAAGCCTGACCCTGGTGTTACTCCATTGTATGTGGAAAATGCCCAGGTTACTCCCAAATGGAACCGATAGATCATTTTTTTTCTGGACAGCAGGCTGTAGAAGTGGACAGTAACCTTGTGGGTGGGGATGGGCAGGCATCTGCTCTGTGTGTGTGTTTGGCGTGTGTGCTTCAGAGCAAGTGGGAATGGTTGTCTGGGCACAGCAACACGAAGCAGGGCAGGCCCCAATTTCTGTGTTGTTTTTCACCCCAGGTAACTGTCCTCTGCACTCTTGAGTCTGATCAGTCTGCCAACAGCAGTTTCATAGCATGGGCACAGTACCCCACAGTTGGGTTTCCACACCTGATAGGCTTTGGCCTCGGGATTAAAGGCATTCACTACCATATCCGACTTTTAAAAGATAATCTGACAACTATATTTTTATCTTAAAAAATGCTCAATTGAGGTAACAGAATGTTATTTTAAAATGTATGGTTTCTGTTCCTTTCTCCAGGAACTACACACTGAGATTCATGCCAATTCCCATGTACGATGCTTCCCAAGCTCTTAAAACAAACCCTGAGAAGACAGAAGAAGCTCTGCAAAAGGTATTGAGAACTGGGAGGGTTGTGGTGGCATGTTCTTATGAATCCCGGCACTGGATAGGCAGCGGCAGGGGAGTTACTGGTGCTCATTAGGTCGTCAGCATACCCTAACTGTTGAGTGCTGGGCCAGAGAAAGATTGTCTCAAACACCAGAGTGGAGGGTGACACTGAGAAGTGACAGTGGAGGTTGCACAGGCAGGTCCTTGCACAGGCAGGTCCTTGCACAGGCAGATCCTTGCACAGGCAGATCCTTGCACAGGCAGGTCCTTGCACAGTGACACACTTCCTCCAACAAGGCCACAACCACTCCACAAAGCTACACCTTCTAATAATGCCACTCTTTATGAGATTATGGGGTCAGATACATTTGAACTACCATACGTACATACACAAAAAGGAACAAACTTCTCACATAATTTTTCTTAAAACAACAACAAGACACTAAAGCTCCTTCATGGTTTGGCTTGTGAACAGGATGGCTGGTCTTGGGAAAGGTCTGGGAACACAGGCCCTGCCAGCCTTGTCTCTACCAATTGTCTGTGTGAAATGAGCTTTCTGGTGAGCAGATTGCTCTCAGGCTTTGGGCCCAGTGTGATCCAGCTGTGAAAAGACAGGGACGGAGCCAAAGGACCGAAAGCCTCAGGTGTCTGTCACTGTTCGGAACCTCTGTAGCAGAACATTTCCCATTGATATGTCACCTTGGCAAGAGCTGGCTGCTGGGAGGCATTGAGAGGAAGCCCACGTGCTCCAGCTCCAGGGGGCTCTGTGCTGTGTTAAAGATGCTTCAGTTGGGGGACGGGAGCTTTCTTTTCTCCTGTTGCCTCGGCGGCTGTGTTTAGTGGGGAGGCTCTTTTGCTCTGCTTTCTTGTTTCCTGGGATGCAGGTAATTACTGTCTGGGTTTTAATTGTTTCTAATTGCTATTGAGTAGTAGTTATTTTAGCATATGGAAAATGAAAATGTAATAACAGTAAGAGCTTCACAGTTATTAGGCATTCTTAACTAGGGAACCATAGTGACAAATTAAAAGGCAAATGGTTACGGCACATTATTAAAACAATAAAGAGGGGAAAAATAAACCAAGATGGCGCAATTTACCCACCTTAAATCATTCCTCTCTCTTTCTGAGACAGTGTCTCACATAGCTCAGCTTGGTCTTATACTCCTTTTAATCTTGCCTTTGTCTCTTCTGATATCACTGAGTATGATCTCTTATGCTGCAGCTGCTAATGTTTATAGGAAGGGGTGTGTGTGTGTGTGTGTGTGTGTGATGGGCACACATATACAACACTTTGTAACCAGCGTCTTAGTTTCTTTTCCTCTTGTTATGATAAAAGACTCTAACGAGAAAGGGAGAAAGGGTTAACAGTGGCTCATATTTCCAAACTCTAGGCCATGGCAGGGACTCCATAGGTGTAGGGACTTCAGAGACCCTGCTCACAGTACATCTGAGGTCAAGAAACAGAGAAAAAATGCTTGTGTTCAGTTTACTTTCTCCATTTTGTGTGCTCCTGGGTCCCTGCCCAGAGAATGGCCCTGCCCGTGATTGAGATGGTTCTTCCCACATCCATAACAGTAAATCAAAACACCCTCCTCAGGCATGCCCAGAAGCCCATCTCCTAGATGAGTGTGATTTGAACTCTGAACCCTCTCCTCCCACCTACTCATTGCTGGGATCATAGGCACTCACCACCATGTTGTTTACACGGTGCTGGGGGGACATAGGGTCTCCTGTGCTACGTAAGCACCCTATTAACTGAGCCACATCTCCAGTCCTCAGATTGTTCTTTGAAAGTATATTTATTTTTTGAGCCAGTGCTCTGTATGTAGCCCAGGCTGTCCTAGAACTCATGGTGTATCCCAGGATGACCTTAAGCTCACAGCGATCCTCTTGCTTCTACCTTCAGAGTATCAAAATGATAGACTTTGAACACCATACCCAGCGAAAGCCTTCTTGCGGGTGTTCATTCTAACTAGTTCCTCCTGCGCGCCCTTTGTCAGAGAGTGCCCACCCCATGGTCTGTTGCTCTTCATAAACTCTTCCTTTTCACCTGGTTATATTTGGACCTTCCCGGTGTTCAGGAGAGTTTGTGTGGAAACATACTAATTGTCAAATCACTTCAAGGTTTCTTTTTTCTTTTTCTTTTTTTTGTAAGAATATGTTTTCTTATTTTCTATGACTTTATTAAAATCCAACCTGTTTCAAGAAATTATGAAAATCTGGTAGATTATTAAAATTTTTTGCCCAGGTTACTATTTTTATATTTTTATTTTATACCCTTTCTCTCTCCCTCCATATTTTCCCCCTCCTTATATCCCTTCCTTGTCCACAACCTCTCTTTTTTTCCTCTTCCTCTTTCTCTTTCCCTAATCCTCCTCCTCACCCCCACCCATGCATACCTTCCTCTCTTCCCTTCCTTTCTCAAAATAATTAGCCAGGGCAGGGCGATGGTGGCGCACGCCTTTAATCCCAGCACTGGGGAGGCAGAGACAAGCAGATCTCTGTGAGTTCTGTAGACCAGCCTGGTCTACAGAGCTAGTTCCAGGACAGGCTCCAAAGCCACAGAGAAACCCTGTCTCAAAAAAAACCAAAAAAAAAAAAAAAATTAGCCAGGTACCGATCAGTTCTGGGGTGTGGATGAGGCTGAGGTTTGGGGGCACTGCTGCCCTCTTTGGAAGAGAATCCCTTCTGAACTGCATGGTAGTTTAAACATGCCACCCAGGGATGAGAAGTCTGAGCCGGCTGCAGCTGCCACCAAATACTGCCTTATCTCTGTCAGTTTCAGAGTCACCCAGCAACGACTTCATCTACCTGTGAAAGCTCATTTTCCAGCTAAAAGCACCTCTGATAAACTCCAGTGTCAGAGCGCTGCCTGAGCCTGAATGGGTTGTGGGCTCAGAGAGCTAGCTGGCGGGCCAGGCTCACTGACTCCTTCACTGATAACTTCATTCCCTGGGGAGCAGAAAGGTGTTCTTGAGAGATATGTGTGTTCCATTTCCAGATAGAAAATTATCTGCTCCGGAATCACGAGACTAGAAAATACCTTCAGGAGCAGGCCTACCGCCTCCAGCAGGGAATTGTCACCAGCACCACCCAGCAGGTAAGGGCACCACCCAGCAGGTAAGGGCACCACCCAGCAGGTAAAGGCACCACCGTCCCCTCACTGTCAGCAGAGGCTTGCAGAGCACAGTTCCAGGAGGAGCTGGCTTGGGGAAATCGCAGCAGATGGAAGGAGAGGAAACTGTATTTGAGGTATAAAGAAGAAACTGTAATGGGAAATGGAATCCTAGAAGCCTCGAGCTAAAGGGAAAAAGATGGTAACTGCTGCTTTGTAAGTGTTGGAAATTGGGAGACTGTGAACGTGACAGCTCAAGATAGGGGTGGAGGAAGAAGCTGAGCGGCGACAGAGCTGGGTTTCACTGGGTATTTCATGGAATCCAGTGCTATCTTTGATCACTAGTATATATGAAAAATAAAGATACATTTAGTACGGAAACCAAAGATAGTGATTCAGGCCTGTTATCCAGCCTGGGAGTCAGAAACAGGAGGATTAGGAGTTCAAAGTCATCTCTATGTACAGAGTTTGAGTCAACCTGGGCTACGTAAGACCCTGTCCCAAAACAGTAAAACAAAAACATACAAACAATAGCAAGCAATTGAAGGTGAAAAGCCGCAGTGGAATCAAGAGGGGTGGTTATCTCTGAGGCAAGGCAAAGGTTGAGAGGAACCGACAGGATTGATTGTACTGTTGCTGGTTGTCTCCGAGTGTGAGTGACCCCACCTTCTCAGCCAGCTCAGCGTTGCTCACATGTGTTACTTAGTTAGGAAAAGTCAGGTAACATATGCATGTCAAGAAAAGGTTTTTTTTTTTTTTTTTATATTTCTTACCTATTAGAACTTTATAGAAAGCATTATTTAGATTTTGGCAGGCCTTAGAATTTTAATTTTCCCCCTGTTAGGGACTGGTATTACTTGAGTATTTTATAGCTTACTGTTACTAGCAAGTTTTAATTTTTCTCTTAAGATCTATATTTATTTTTTAATAGGGGAGCACATATATGCTCATGAGTATAAGTGCCCACAGAGGTCAGAATAAGTGTCATTCGCCTGGGAGCAGGAATTACAGGTTGTTGTGAGCTGCCTGATCCGTGGGTTCTGGGAATCAAACTCAGGTCCTCTGTAAGAGCAGCCACGCTCCTATGCACTGAGCCATCGCCCTAGCCCTGGTTTCAACATTTCACCTTAAAAGCAGCAAGACTGTTACATTGAAACTTTGCCTCCTATCCCTTAATGAGATTCCAAAATGTAGGCTTCTTAATCCAATATTATTCCAACTTCTTTCTGATTGAGAGGGCAACTCCCAACCTCACACCAAAAAAACAAACAACTGAAAACCCCAACAAACCGAAAACCCCTGATGAACCAAAAAACCCCGAACAAAACAGTGTCTATAAGTGTCTGTTTCTCTAGTGTTTGTTTTTCACGTCTGATCCCATCTTCTCAGTGGAAAGCTACTGCACACAGGACAGGGCTGTGGATGTAACTCTGCCTCGGTGGCTCACTCTTAATTATGTGAGTTATTACGAACTGGGTACGTTGCCACCCTTTCCCTTCAGGGATTTCCTGGGATTTTATGACTAGCTATTTTCCTACTTGAATCGTTTCAGCGGTTTGAGGGGAGATGTACCTTGAAGTGCTGAGGCATTTAAGTACAGGAAGAATAGACCCTTCGTGACAACTGTTCCTAACCCCTAACCAGTGGCCATGCCCCAGAAGACAAGTGTTAGAAGGAAACACTGAAATCCCGTGGCTCTTCTTCATGTACTGGTTTTTGTCTGGTGTCTTCATCTAGGATTTTGTAAGAATCAGTACTGTCTTTGTGCTTTTGAATTTCCCCCTCTCCCTCCCCCACCAGATAAATCCTCTTAATCAGGTATTTGAAAACTTTGTCTGATATAGTGAATATTCCAGGCTTTGTGTCCTTACTGCAGGTACCACCTTCTGCCACTGTGGAGTAGATGTGGACCTATACTGTGTACCATGCATACAGCCGTGAACTTGGCTGTGTATTAAAAAATCACAGACAAAGTCAGACCCAGAATTATCTGACCCCAAGCTCTAGTTTTTCTCCTCCAAAGAGCCATTTTCTCAACACTCTTTGTTGAGCTGCTTTTTCTCCTGGAGATCATTCAGTAACATTCTGAAACATGCCGCCTATATGTGCCCCCTGAAATGGCTCTCAGTAATTTTCCTCGTCAGCAAGTCTAAAGAGTCCTTTTTTTATTGAGGCTATTTCTCGTGTTGTTCTGGCTAGTGTCTGATTTCCTCTGAAACTGAAGATAGCCTTGATGCTCCTGTCTCCACATTCCCAGTAGATTATAGACCTGTACCAGCACACACACACTCATACACACACACATACACTGTTAACTGCGGATGTTTCTTCCCACTTCTGTGTTGACATTGCTTGGGGACAGAGCAATTATCTTACTCAGGATTTTCTCTCTTCAGCATCAGGTGTGTGGGTGTATTTCTCTTGAATAAAGAAATAGCCATAGAGGAAAAGAACATTGTTTCCACAAAGAATTCCTTTGGTGGAAGAAACAGAGACAGTTGTAACATTGAGAGTGACTGGAGATGGCGTTTATTGCGAGTGGTTTCTATGCTTTGGTTCAGCGGTCCTGTGGCTCTTAAGGAGCCTGCTAGTTCCTGCATGTGTAATAGGAATCAGTTGTGTGATGAGGTTGCTGAGAAGCCAACTCTGCCCTTCTGCCAACTCAGAGGACAGAAGTGGGTAATCCATCTCTGCCCACTCCTTCTGGGTTACAATTCATCTTCTTGAGGGTTTCAGATAAAGCAGCAAATTCAGTGAGATGTATCTCAGCTAGGGCCAGCCTGCTGGTGACCATTGAACTGCACCACTGTGAAAACAATTATTAATGTTATGATTGGGAATGTTAAGACCAGAGAGCTGAGGGAAGAAAAGAGAGTCATGTTCAAATAGATTCATGATGCTCTCTAGGGACTCTTCAAGTTCTCAAGGGGAAGAGGTCGCATGTGTGGCAAGAGTTTAGGACGACAGATCAGGACACAGATAAAGAACGGTCGTGCTGAGTAGAGGCAAATGAACTTACCTATAGAGCCCTGGCAGCCTTCGTTTCTTTTTCTGGTCTGTGATAAAATGCTCTGACAAGCATCTTCGGAGAGAAAGGCCTTACTGTGCTTCATAGTTCCAGGGCCTTTCTCATGGCAGGGAAGTTGAGGTGGCAGAGCTTTGCAGCTGCTCAGCATATAGTGTCCACAGCGAGGAAGCAGGGAATGGGGGTGCATGCTCCTACCTAGTTCTCTTGTCTGAATGTAGTCCAGGGTCCTATCCAGGGAATGGTGCCTCGATGCTATCAACATAATCCCCTTCCAGCCAGCTCAGCGGCCAGACTCCCGGACGATTCTAGGTTCGTTCAAGTTAGCAAATAACACTGACCACAGCAGTCGACACTTTTATGTGTTAACTTAAAAGCTAATGTGCGTCAGATGGAAACAGGAAGGTTGGCTGAAAGGGCCACATTCCTCTACCACGAAGTTTTATAACTGATTAACTAGAGTGGTCTTTTTGCTGTCTCCTCCCATAAATGTTTTCAATGATATACATTAGGGGTATGACTTATAAAATGATAATGAAACACCTAGATCCCCCCCGCCCAAGTTTTAACTTGGCACTTTCCTCTATATCATCTTAAGTAAATAGCTTGCCTTTCACACCCCCTAGACTCCAAATGGTTTTGGTTTTGTTAGAGTCTTGCAAATGCTTGGACAAGCCCTTATAATATGAATTTGTTTCATTTGAAGAACTAAAATTTTATTTTCCTTTTGGCTTTGAAAACTGTTCCATGTGGAGGCCATTTTTGTGGAGTTCATTTAAACACTCTCTCCTCCTTGAACGCTGATGGCACGCACTTCAGGGGGCTCTTTAGTATCAGTGGAGAGGATTGACTTTATTGGGCTGTTTCCACAGGCCGCTTGGGTTGATCTTTTGTGCCTTCAGATGTATGTCTGGTTATCTTCTGAAATTAGAAAATCATTCTCAGTGAGATGTGAATTATTGATGACCATTTTTGTTTAGATCAATATGCCAGTTTGAAGGGTAAAGATTTATGTCCATCATGGAGAGTTTTAGAAGCACAGAGTCAGCTCTCTGCTGGGCATGTGGGAATGAATGCAGAGAGTATTTGAGCCCTGCCTGGAAGCACAGATTGGAGGTGGAGAGTGGAGGCGAAATGAGAAACCCTTCACAAAATTTTCCTATGAGGGGCACAAGACTGTCACTTAATAAAGCCTGGGAAAGTCCCAGCAGAATGGCTGCTGCGTGCATCGCACTGCTCTTCCCGGGCCCTCGTCAACAGGATAGCGGCTTTGAGAGGTGCTGTCTTCCTCGATTGCCTTTATAATGCCCCAACAGACATTGTGAGCGTGACTTCATAAAGGGAAAGATAAGAGGGGAGTCAGCACTGCAGCAGGAGACCCTGGCTCTGAGGCCAGCATCTAAGTCTATTGTGCTGTTCTGAAAACACACTCCCTTCCTCTCCTTAGGGTCTCTCAATGCGGCCCTGGCTGTCCTGCAAATTGCTATTGTAGCCCATGCTAGCCTCAAACTGGTGGTGATCCTCCTGTCTCTGCCTCTAGAGTGCTGGGATTACAAGGTCTGCAAAATGATCATAATTATATTTCATTTTGTAATGCTGGGGATTGAACCCAGTGCATCAAGCATGCAATGCAATTTCTACCAGAAGAGTCAGATCCCCTTTTTGGTGAGGGCTCTGATGTTTTGGAATTTGTAGGAGAAGGAAGGGAGATTTTAGCTTCCTATTGACACAATATCAAATTATTCAAAATAAAAAGGTAATTTAGTTTTAAAAAGAGAACAACTTTGTTGATTCAACTGACTTACCTGATGGGGCAGGACACTTATAGATTGCTTTTTTTTATTCATTTGTTTCATTCTTTATGCATTCATTTCATTTTATCTATTTATTTTTTGTATGTGGGAGTAGGAGGTAGGACTGTCTGTGTGCCTTGCATTTCCCAATAGAGATCAGAGGGCACCTTCCTTGAAGGACCAATTTTCTCCTTTGTCATATGAATTTTAAGGATGGAGCTCAGTTCCTCAGGTTGGACTGCGTGTACCTTTACCTGCTGAACCATCTCGCCAACCCAGCTATTGTCATTATTAATTATTATTATTATTTATTATTATTATATTTTAGTGTTTGTGAGACAAGTTTAATGTTTTCCAGACTGACTTTAAACTTGGCTTTGTAGCTGAGGATGATTTTAAATTGTCCATCTTCCAGCTGCCTAGCTAAACATTCTTTTCCAGGACCATAAGATAAGCAATGCTTAGCTGTGATGAAAATGCCAGAGGAAGGTTTTGGAGAGCACTGTGACTGTTATTTACTTGAGATGAGTCTGTTCTCTGACTTTTTTCCTGCTGCATACCCACACTTGGCAGACTGTTAAAAAATAGAGGCTATTGCAGCCCGTGGTCCCAGAGGTGGTGAGGACCAGGAGTGAGACCCTGAGCCAGGGATGTCCATTCCACATAACACCCACCACCACGGGAGAACTGGGACACTCATGAGCAGGTCTGCCCCAGGGCAGATTTAAAATAAGGATGCTGTAACCATCTGCTACTGCAATTGTGTACGCAATGCTCTGCTACTTCCTTTGTGTTCTTTACTTCAATCCTGGGCTCAGTAAAAATGATTCAAGTACAAATGGCTTGTGAGGCAAAGCTGCTGGGCTAGACACTAGGTGACATTAGCTTAATCGTCACCCACACTAATAGGACAGACACATCCCACCTTTGTTGACTGAGACAACGTCTCGTGTAGCCCAGTCTGTTCTTCAACTCGCTCTGTAGCCAAGGGTGACCTTGAACATCTAGATCTTTGTGTCCCAACCACCCAAGTGCTGGGATATCTGACGTGTGCCACCATGCCCAGTTTATACAGTACTGGGACTCAAACCCAGGGCTTCACGGTTGCTAGGCAAGCATTATCCCAACTGAGCTACACCTCCAGTCACCCCCAACTTGCTTCTATGTTTTGGTGGTTCTCAGTTTATAAAGAGACACACTTCACATAATAGAATGTTTAAACTGTCAATTTCCAGAGACTGTTTTGGTTTCGATGTAATTGAGACCAACTGGCAGTTGTCAGCATTCTACTGTCATGTCGTTAGTCTTGGCACTGCAAGTCACTGCTTTGCTTCTCCAGCACCTCTCCCTTTGTCTGACACACACAGGGCACTTGATGGCAGTTAATGAGAGTCGCCGTCTAGCAGAACATCACTGGGAGCTACAAGATTTGAATCATTAAGATGATTCACTACACAGTCTTCTTTTTAAGGGATAAAAGAGACCAAAATGCCTTACATCTTGTCCTGGAGTTAATGTGCCTTTGGTTGCTTGCATGTTTAGTTAGATTGATTTAATAATTGGTTAACCTCCCTTCTGGAAGATGCCAGCACGAGGTTTTCAACCTCATGCGTTCTGTTTTCTTGACTTTTTATTGTCCATTCTGTGCCTTTCTTTCTGTACCGACTCAAATGCTTCTCTGGTTTGCCCAGATGATTGACCGGGTATGTGTGAAGGTTCAGGATCACCTCAACTCCTTGCGGTCCTGTGGGGGCGATGCTATTCAGGAGGATTTAAAGGCAGCAGAGCAGCTCATGCGTGACGCTAAGAACTCTAAAACGGTGAGTCTCTCCTCGGAATTTGTGAGAAGCTGTGTTGTGTTTGTCTGGTTTGTACCTGTGCTCATTTCTAGCAACTGTAAGTAAGGAGGAAAGCTGGCAAGCGTTTCAGAGTATAAATGTGAGAGCTGAGTAACTGAGGGCACAGCACTCTCTGCCACCTGCGACAGGACATGTCCTTTGTGGTGAAATCTGGTTCCTAAGTTACTCACCACTGTAATCCTAGAATTTGGGTTACTGAGGCAGGGAGGTTGCAGCAAGTTCGAGGCTAGCCTGGGCAGCATGGTGAAAACCTGTCTACAAAGACTCTACTCCCCAAAGTGTGACTTAACAGAAAATAGACTCGGTATGAGTCAGAACCTGGGCTCTTGTGCTGCTAGGGTAACATAAGTAGGGTTTTGTTGTTGTTGTTTTGGTTTGTTTTTGTTTTTCAAGATGGGGTTTCTCTGTGTAGCCCTGGCTGTCCTTGAACTTACTCTGTAGACTAGGCTGGCCTCAAACTAAGAGATCTGCCTGCCTCTCCCTCGCAAGTGGTATTAAAAGTGTGCACCATCACTACCTAGTTCATATAAGTAGTTTTATTTAGTTGTTTCATTGTTGTTTAACTTGCATTCATTTGTGTGTGTGTGTGTGTGTATGTGTGTGTGTGTGTAAGTCAAAGTGTAACTTGTAGGACTCTATTCTCTCCTTTCACAGTGTAGGTGCCCGGGATCAAACTCAGTTTGGCAGGCTTGGTGGTACATACCCACTAAGCCATCTTACTGGTCCCAGGATTACAGTTGCTGCATGTCGTGTGCGGGCCTTTACATACTAGTCAAATGGTCCTATGGCACAATAATAATATATGCTGAGCCATTGTCCTTGCATCCTGCCCCAGAGCCTCTAAATCCCTGGGACATTCTGAGTGACAGAGGTGACAGTAGCATCTTTGTCCACTGGTAACCAAAGCTTTCAGTGTAACAGCGTTCATTTTAGTGAGCGGATGTGGAAGAAGCAACTCCAGGGTGAGTGTTGGCTCTTCTGTCCAATCCACAGCCCCTGCCAATGGGAAGGGCTGGAGACTGGGTCAGTCACCCGTGACCAGTGACGTCGTCCACCTGCCTCTAATGCAGCTTCGAGGGAATCTTAAAGCAGGGGTTGACGGTTTAAGGACTTTTGCTTGATGCCATCAAGGGGCTTGGAAACCGGCACACCTGAAGATGGCATGGAAGCCTCTCCCCCAAGCCCTGCAGAGTCATTTTCCTTAAGCCCAGGTGACGCTCTCATCCCTGGACCTGGTGGTGCAGTGTATTCATTTCACTGTCTGGGTTGGAAACCCACCAGTGGAGAGCAAGGTCAGATTAGTGATGATGGAGCTATTTGATAGCATTCCACTGACCAACTCCACGGCCTCAGAGCTACTGAGCGGCAGCAATGGCTGTGCTGTCTGCCAGTGTCACTGCGGTGATACGCTAGCATTGCTGGGTTTCATGAGCATGAACAAATGCCAGTAAAGAGCCTGGCCCTCAGTTTACCATCTGCGGCTTTGGCCGAGGATCGGTGGTCTCCAATATATTTCTTTACCTCTCCATCACTCCACAGTTAATTATTATTAAAATATTTGTTCTTACAACGAGATTACTTTCCACTTTCTTACAGTTGCTACCGAATTTATACCACGTGGGCGGAGCTTCCTGGACAGGGGCCAGTGGCCTGTCATCCAGCCCCATTCAGGAGACCCTGGAATCAATGGCCGGAGAAGTCACAAGAGTTGTCGATGAACAACTGAAGGTCTGTGGGTCCCATTATTTGGGGGAATGAATTTGTGATGATGGAACTGTTTGATAGCATTCCATGCTACAGCTGTCTGGATTTATAGGATGTGCGTGTATGTATGTGAGTATATATGTAGTGTGTGCCTGGGTGCTTACACTAACTGGGTAAACACATGGGGTAGAAGTCAGTATGACATCTTTGTCTGGTTTATGTGTTTCAGAATGCTTTCCTACATAGTCAGTCTCGCTTTTGATGACAAGTCTCAAAATGCACTTAATACGATTGGTTGTTGCTGTTGGGGGGGGGGGGCAGGGATGATTTCCATATAGAGGACCCCAGAAATAAAGTGCTCTGGGAAATTTACATTTGATTTTGAAAGTGGAAAACGTGGTGGGGACTGTGTATGAGTACTGCCATGCTACTGACATGAATAAGTAGAGGCATGGTTAGGGATGGATCAACAGACTTATTTAGGATGAAACTATAGGCCACACAAATGAACAGAGATCTGCTATTCCCTTACTGCCTGAAGAAAGACTAAGACGTTAGAGGACATGGGTAGCCTAAAAGCAGCTTTTTCTAAAGGTAATTTCAAAACCCAGCTTCCCAGAGACATTTCCCATTCAGAAGGATTTTTATCTTTCAAGGATGCCTTGAAGTCCTTTGAGCTTCTCTAATTATTTAATCTCTTTCCTTCTGAGAATGTAGCTTCTGCAGCAAGTGGAGGAGCTGAGGTGCCAACAAATGGCACCTTTACAATATGCTAATTGCACTCTGAAAATTAAGCTAATAAGGCAGAAAATGCTTGGATTCTTAGATGTTAATCCATCTCCCTCCGCACGTCCCACAGACACACTCAAGTAGTGTGTGGATTTTATTTACACGTGGCTATTTGAATTTGTACTGAACAAAGACAGAGAGGCAGAAAAGAACAGTGCGCTAGACTTCATGGTAGCAAATTGCTCTTGGATCCTTCTGTACATGGCCTGCCTGTGCAAGGATCTGCCTGTGTGCAAGGATCTGCCTGTAATGATTTGCCTGTATGAGGCAGATACTTTCTTACATTAATAATAAGCAACTTTTTAACTTATTTTTGACTATAAAAAAAACAAGCAAACAAACAGCAAAACACAAAAAGCTAATGAGAAATGCTTGAGTGATTCCAACAGTAAATTTGTAAAGAATTACTGAGACAGAAATCACATCGAATTCTACCTAGGGACTCCATCTTATGTCCGTGTGAGGATGCCATGTAAAGGATCAGGAACCTTTTACACCCAGAGTCACTATCACAAGCGCAGTTCTAGTAGTGAGAAAGTATTTCTAATGGCTGCATCAAGGCTACATTCTGCTGCAGATATGTACCTACTCTAATTGCTGATGAACTTTGTTAGGGTATATGTGTGTAATTGTCCCATTCCTGGGTTGCTCGTGGTATGCTTTTGTATGGATTGGCAAACATGTCAAGCAGTGCAAGGAACTGCTTGTTTATCCTGTTCTTAGCAGTACCGAGTACAGCGTGACACTTGTAACATTTTTAATGTAATGGGTTAAGAAAAGAACACCAACCTATTGTATAATTTTATTTCCTTAACAGCAAAGTAGAGCATAAGTATTTATTTATTTATGATGCTAGAGCTTGGCCTCGGGGCTGTACGCTTGCTGGGTAAGCATTTGATCAGTGAGCTACACAACCAGCCCTGTGTTTTTACTATTGGAAATGGCCTATTTCCATCTGCTTCCTCCCTCTCCTCCCGTTAGAGCAATCGTAAGAATGGCTGTCATTTAAACTGCCATAAAACGCGGTAACAGGTCCCTTTCTGTCCAACAACTTCCAGCTGTTGCTGCATTTTCATCCTGTCTGAGCCACAGACTTCCCTGACCTTAGCTGTCGGTTTCCCCCAAAACTGCCTAGAGCAGCCGAAATGGATTCTGGGTCATTTTTCTTAGGAGGGACTAGGATGCAAATATCCAAAATAAGATATATTTGCATTTAAAAGGCCTGGGATAATATAGATGCTCCTGCTCTGTGCCTAGGCTTTCTGAGCCCTTGTTGAATGTCACCAACGTCCTTTGCTTCTCTCCGCCTCTCACTCACTTCCAGGCCCCAGCCCCCAGCAGCCTCTCTGAGGGCTGTTTTTGTTTATCCTGCCCCCTGCCTTCCTGGACCTTGTGAGGTTCAAGTTCCTTTCCCTCTGAAAACATCTGGTCATGAGGCATAGAGAGTCCTCAAAGTCCTCATTCAGAGAATCATATGGTTTCTTAAACAGAAACATTTACTTTCTTACACTTTTCATGCCCTTGTTCACTTCCTTTTTACTTTCTTCTACTGACCTGACAGATCAGTAAGAGAAGTGGGGATGACACTCTGTTTTCCTACTTTTTTCTTTCCTTTAGAGTATTTTAATTTTTTTTTTTTTTTTGGTTGGTTTGGTTTTTTGAGATAGTTTCTCTTTGTAGCCTTGGCTGTCCTGGAACTAGCTCTGTAGACCAGACTGGCTTCCAACTCATAGAGATCCACCTGCCTCTGTCTCCTGAGTGCAAGGATTAAAGGCGTGCGCCATCACCATCCTGCCAATTTTCCTCCTTATAATAACCATGCAATGCATTGATTTCCTTAAAGTCATAGACAACAAATGGATTTTGGATGTTTTAATGTAAAGTCTGATTTTATTTCCCTTCTGGCCTTACATTTTAGCATGCTTATTTGGGTCTGGAAAGCCCTTGCTTTCTTTTCCTCAGGCTTAAATGGGAAACTTTTCCCTGGTAAATTTCAGATTCATTTAGGATATGAGGCCTGATGGGTTTAAGAGCAATTCCGTGCAGTCAGATCTTGCTTTATTCAGGAGAGTTCTTTTTCTGTGTTAAGGGTTTTTGCTACTGCTTCTGTAGCTGCTGCTGCTGCTGTCGTTGCTGTTGCTGCTGCAGTTGCTGTGGTTTTGCAGTACTGGGTTGACATCAGGATCTTGAACATTCGAGGCAGATCCTCTACCACTGAGCTACATCCCTAACCCTATACAGAGTGTCTCCAAAACAAAAGACAAAACAGTTTCTGACCACTCCAGTATGGACATTACGTTTGCAATCCAGAAGCCCAATACCACCAAGTGCAAAAGGGTGGCTGCCATCCTAAAGATATCAATCCTGCTTGTTTTACAGACATTGCATAGGCTTCCTCACACCCGATGGATGTGTTGGTTGTTTTACAGTACACACCCTGAGACTGTCTTAAAGGTGCTCAGTTCTGTCACATTTCAGAGTCAGGGCCTGCTCACTGAGAGTCGTCTGAAAACAATAACACAGAGCCAACAGAATGAAAACGGTGTCAGGAAAGTGCAGGGGTGCGCCCAGCGTTCACATCAGCCTGGCTCAGCTTTCCAGAATTAGGGAAGAGACTGAGAGACGGTGACATTACAGAGACTGAGAGACGGTGACATTACAGAATGTCGGGAACAGGGGATTGGCAGACTGACTGAAGAAGCCCAGCGAACACAGAGCAGAAGGGGTGGGGGGATCCTAAGGACCAACAGAGTCCAGTGGGAGGAAAACTTCCTCTTTCTCTGGACCCCTGGGTGGAGCCTGGTCACCCGCTGCTCAGCACCTAAGAAAGCTAGGAGGCAGTGAGCCGATGCCAGCAAACTTCCCCACACACATACGCTGTATCCAGCTGGGCCCAGTGCTCGAGGAGGATTGCGGTGAAGACGGTTCATCAAGACAAACTGAGATAGTGGGGCTGCAGACGAAGCTCAGAAAAGAAGAGCATGAACTACGCTTGCAGGAGATCAAGCCCAGGTCCCAACGCCGACATCAAGCTGTTCACAACGACATACAACTTTAGCTCCAGGAGATCCTATGCCTTCTTCTCCCACCCACCTTTCCCAGCCTACATGATTAAAACTACATCCTTAAAGGAAAGAGAAGGAACAAGTCACTGAACCTCCCCTGAGCCCCACTCTCCTTATTTGTAAACTAAAGAATCAGCCTTCATTTACAAGATACCGTGTGGTTGCGATTTATTTTGTGGAGTGAAGTGCCACCTTGCTCTGTCACTTGGTATTAGGGCTAGAGGTGGGTAATTTTATTATGAAGCTCCATTTCAGATTTGGGTCTTTTCCGTAGAGCAATCCCACCACCCACTTTGGCAGATCTTTTAACATTAGTGCACGCATCCCTCGCCTGCGAAGGAAGATCCCTTGAGCAGCTACCCCATCCGTCTGCACAGATGCTGGAAGGGTGGGGTGTGTAGTATAATTTCTCAGATGCTGCAGGGCTGTGAAAAAGCATGTTTTGGCTGTTGCTTCTGAGGTTGTTTTTAGGGTTCTCTGTAAATGCTTTCAGCTGTTGTTATTCATGTGGCTTATAACTACTGTTTTACCTAATATGAGCGCTTTTCTCTTTAGAAAGAAAATTGGCAGTCATTTCGGCGATTTTGTTGTTTTTCTGCTGTTATGTTTTGGGGGAACTATTGAATGGTTCATTATAATTTAGAGGTGTCTGTGTGATTTAGGAAATCACACACCTATTTTAGGGACTTCTAATTCTCAAGTTTCGTATCTGTCAAGCAGGCTTTCTAGGACCTGGGGGCTCCGTCTGCTGTGGCAAGTTGCTTTGTAAAAGGTGGATACTCGCATGCTTTATTCTTCTCATCCATGGCTTCATGTTCTGTTCAGATGCCTGTGCGAAGCACACAGGTTCTGCCAAGTCTCTGATTTAAAGTGGTCGCTTGAGCTCACCAGTCGCCCCACGGTTATAAATCTCCTAGGCGGCCTGTCTGGAGCCCTTGGTTGTGCTCTGGGGGTTCCTGCCCTCCTGGGGCTGGGATAACACACTGTGAGTGTCCCGCTGACTGTCATTACCACCTTCTTCTGCATCGCAGGGTTTGCTTGAATCCATGGTGGATGCCGCTGAGAACCTCTGCCCCAGTGTGATGAAAAAAGCCCACATCCGACAAGACCTGATCCACGCCAGCACCGAAAAGATTTCCATCCCACGCACCTTTGTTAAAAATGTCCTCTTGGAACAGTCTGGAATTGACATTCTTAACAAAATTAGGTATGTCCATTGTGTTACTAAGCGCTGCAGGGTGTGAGACACGGTCCAGGTTGTGGGAAGGGCAACAGTGTTGGTGACTTTATCATCAAGGAGGAGTGTGTTGAGATGTGTCTAACAGACTGGGAAGGTTGTAAACATAGCTGTGCACACAAGTAATGTACGTAAACATGGGTTGTCCACACAAGTAAGAGTCTGGCTGTCTTATAGCTGTATCACCTAAGAGCACAGAGTCTGCAGCTCTCTAAGGAGTTTATATATAAGGGGAAGACATGATTGTAATTCCTAGTTTGTGATTCCAGCATTTATCTTCCACTTTCTAAGTCACTGGTTTAAAGTCAGAATATTTCCCTCCCCTCTCTCTCTCTCCCCCCCCCCCCCCCCCCCCCCCCCCCCCCCCCCCATTTTTTGTTTTTTTTTTTTTGTGTTTTTTTTTTTTTTTTTTTTTTTTTTTTTTTTTTTTTTTTTTTTTGATGAGGGGTCCTTAATCTATAGTCCAGGCCTTTCTGACACTCTGTAGCCCAGACTAGCCTGAAACTCATAACAGTCTTCCTGCCTCAAATCACTAAAGTGAACCGTATTTTCATCCCAGGTTAGGATGGCGGACTTTGAAGTCTGCAGGTATCTGTTGGAGAGGCTTGAGGAGTAAGTCAGGGTTTCAGTATGTAGAAGATGTAGTTCCAAACTTCCTTGAGTTTTTATGTCGAGGCCCCTGGCTTCATCGATCAGTACCGCATTATACTCGGTTCATCCTCCTTATGCTTCTTCCTTAGGGAATGAGATGGCTGGAAGCCAGACATTTTAACTTTCCCCTTTTACCTGTTTCTGAATATTGATAAAAATATTTAGATGAGCAAGAAAATTAGCAGTTGTGAAGAGCTAGGAATAGCACGACCACACAACAATGAAGCCAAACCAGAGCAAGCCAGCCAGCCAACCAGAGTCTCTGGGCTGTAAACCATACTCGGGAAACCTATCGGCACTGGATGGCCTCAGACTGGTGACTCGGCTTTGCATCCTATTGGTTTAATGAGTTCCTATTCTTTACTGGGATAAAGTCTAAAGCAGTTTGAAAAATCTGAGAAATTAGAGAAAAAAAACTTTGAGTTTATAGAAGAGTGAGGATTTTTGAGTTTATGCATTCTAGTCCTCACATTGTGCTTACAAACTATTACGTAAGGCTCAGCTGTGTTGTTGAAAATAAATATTTAAGTATCACGTATTTTAAATATAAATATTGAAAATGTGGCATGTTTAAGTATTAAATATCCCCCTTAAATATTAGGATGAAAACCGTATTAGCCAGTATTCTTTCATGGCAGTAGTTCGGTCACCAATACAATGTGTGCTGATGTCTGTTCTGTATTATCAAGTCCTTTTCCTTTTTTCTGTCCCTCTTTAAAATGTTTTCATATTAGCACATCATTCATTATGCATAAGAATGGCTTTCATTATGATATTTCCACACTGTGCATGACGTGTTCCCCCATATTCACCACCACTCCTGCTCTACTCTTTAGCTAATCCTACCCCTCTTCCCAACCCATCCCCTTCTGTTTTCATCAGCAAATTCTGCCGAATACGGTCACCTTCCTTTGCATGGGTAAATCAGTTCTTCGTCCATAGACTCAGTTCTTGAATTTTTTGCAGTGCCTTAAGCTGAGCCCTGGCAACTCGTGTACATTCACAGATAATGCAGGCACATTTGTATGTATGAGAGGTCGCGCGGGGTGAGTGACCCCAGCAACAAATGAGAGAACAGTCCAGAGACATCAAACAATAGTGGCATTTGTAAGCCTTCACTTTGTACACACTTTGGAGTTCATAAACCACCCCTCCCCATCTTGAGAGAAGGAGAAAGAGAGATGTGAAGTACCATGTCTAGAGGGTTAGAGACGTAGTCTCAGGCATGGCTAATGAGAATTGGGAAATACTTGTTACCACCAGACTCCAGCATCCTCTGGAAGCTCGGGTAGGACTCTGTCCCTTGTTTTTGGTAGGAGACAAGAGTGAGTCTCACCTGGAGATCCCTGATGTGTTTAACTAAATGTCGTTCTCGGCATAGCATCATCTTCATTATCATTAGCATCTCTAGTATAGGTCAGCCTTCGACTCAGGGCTCTCCTCTGCCTCGGCCTTCTGAGTCCTGGGATTCTGATTGTGAGCCATCACCTCCAGCTTTAAAGATAATTGAATATTAGATAATCAAATATTAGTGACACTTTGTTTCATGAAAAAAGTATTGAAGAATCCTCCTGGAGATTTACACAAGTATCAGAGTTAATCCCCTTCCTTCTGCACCCGAGCATCAATCTTCCTGAGTAGGGAAGTCTCGGAAGAAATCGTCACACTTAGGTTATAGGGATTTCCCTGCTGCACAAATACACATTCAACCTTGACTTTACGATTAAGTAATTTTGTTCTGACAGCTCATTTGTCTGCTCTGAAAACATAAAAGTTGTTGGCTTCAAACGCAGACTAAGGTCATAAGACAATCCTAGAATGTAGGTATGTGATTGACTTCCTCATGTTCTCCCCCGAATCTTGGACCCGGATACACTTACACTTTGGAGTAGGGCGATTCCTGGATGGTGAATCCGTGTGAATGGCTGAAATGTGAGCTTGGGAATGGCTAAAGCAGGAGCCATCTGGTAGGAATCAGAGCCTGCTACTTAAAAACTCTAAGCCTCTTTCTGTTTCTGAGGAATTGTCTGAGGTCAGATTGAGAGGCATCCAAACTGAAAATCGTAATAACCTCTATTACAGAAGGTGGAGCTCTGGGGATTGTTGGCATGCCTAGCATAGTGATAAGTCAAGGCAGAAATAGTGTGACCCAGCTGCATTGGTGAAAACATTCTATGTGCTCTGTGTGCATATGGCAGTGATAACGAGGGTTTAACAGCCAGACTAGACTTTCTGAACTTTCTGCCGTCTGAGGCCTCTCGTGTCTGTGTCAGGAGCTGCAGCGTGTCACAGGGCACACGTGGTCCCTATTGAGTTTGTCTCTATCCAGGTGTTTTCCATTTCTACCATTAAATCTCACGCTTCAAGCTCAGAGACAAGTTGACATTGGCAATGGACGCCCGTTATCTGTGTGTTTACTGCAGCGTTTAAGGGTTACTTTCGGTACTCCTTAGTTCTCACAGTCTTCTGTTCCCTTCTCAGAGACAGGAGCCGAATCCTGGTTGGCCTTATTGGCGTGACCTCGCAGGTGCATGCTCCTCCCTCCCCCAACACAAGCTAAAAAGCTTCTCTCCCCTTTGGTGTCCATAGTGAGGTGAAGCTGACAGTGGCCTCATTCTTGTCGGACCGCATCGTGGATGAAATCCTGGAGGCGCTCTCCAGCAGCCATCGGAAGCTGGTGAGTGCTGGTGTCAGGAGCAGGAGCCAGGAGGAGTGCCAACTCTGTGGGAGCTGGCCCTGCACAGTGGGGTCCTGGAAGGAGCATGGTTTCTTTCCTCTTCTGCTGCTTCTAGTCACCCTGGAATGCATTAGAATTGAACGACAGGGGGCAGAAGTGAGCAGTTTCGGAGATCTTGTCCAGCTTTAGTGAAGGTCAAACCTGTGGGTGGATGATGTTCAGCCTAATGTCTAAAATGAACATTATTGGTTATGGACTGTACATTTGCTGCTGTTGTTCTGAGTGGATTAGTTCAGAATGGGTTTGGGGTTTTGAGATGGGTCTTATTTTAGTTCAGGCTGACCTTGAACTCAAGACAATCCTTTGTGGCCTTCTAAGTTCTGTGATTGAAGGTGTGACCCACTACTCCTTGCTCAAAATAGATTATTTCTTAAATTTATGTTTTTATATATAGTATATTATTTATATGTTATATTGTGTATATATAATGTATATAATTATATATAAAGTACACACACACACACATATATATATAAACACTCATGTAGCCCATGCTAGCCTCGATTCTGTACCATAGCCAAGGATGACCTTAAACTCCTGATTCTCCTCTTCCTCCTAAATGTGTGTGCTACCATGCCCCGCTAAGCCTATTCTTAGAAGACAGCTTATTTGGAGTGGCACTCCAGATGTTGCCTGTGGGCCCCAGCTGGCCCCGAGCATGCATTCCCAGTGTGTGAGCATTCATTAGTGAAGAAACCAGCAGGGGCTACTGTGAAGTTTCTAGAGCAATTTGACAGGACCACAGTATTCAAGCACATATTTATTTTCTAATTTCTCTGTGTTGTATTTTATCAACATTAATAGCCCTGTGCCAAACTGTATAGAAAATTTCTCCTGGCCCATCAAGCAGAAGAAGTCATATTCTCATCTCCTGGCAGCCAGGAGTAGCTTCGTTGTCCCTAATCCAGACTCAGTGGCATATGCTCTTTAAAAATACTTATTCACTTAAGATATGGTCTCTCTATAGAGCCCTGGCCAGCCTAGTACATTCTATTTTAGAAACATTTGATTGATGTCCCATGGGTACCGGAGCTGTCTCTGAATGCTGACAGAATGCCGCCAATACTGGATGGTGTCTTGGCATGACTCCACCTGGGAGGCCCTCCTGGGAAGTTTGCAATTTTTTCAAAATTTTCTTTTTATTGGGTGTGTTTGGCTATGTCTGTGTGGTCAGCTATATGGAGATCAGAGAGCAGTTGGTGGGTGTCTGTTCCCTCTTTCCACTAACGTGAGGTTCACTTTAGTGGTATGTCTTGGCAGAAGGTGCTTTTATCTGCTGTGCCATCTTGACAATATCCTCATTTATGAAGTTTCTTATTTCTCACTTGGCCCCCCAAAAAACAGAAAAGATGAAAGTTTCTCTGTATTGACCCATCATCACGGAAACTGGGCTTGGTGATCCACACCTGGGCTCCCAGCACTTAGGAGCGGAGGCTGAAGCAGGGAGGGTCTAGGTCAGGCAGGATTAGATAACGAGATATACTCCAAAAATGTTAAGTAAATTACTTAATTAAATACCAAAATTCCCTTGCAAGCTAGCTCTCTACAGCGCCACCTTGTGGAGGACATCTTCGCGAATTTACTTAGGAGTTCCTACTTGTTTCCTCTAATTTCTGCTTGTGCTCTCTTGACCCAAGGCGGACCATTACAGCAGGAGAGGCAAGAGCCTTCCCCAACGGGAGTCCCTAGAGGTGGAGCTGGCTGAGGAGAAGCCGGTGAAGCGTGCCACACTTATGGTGGAGGATCTCAACGAGGTGGAGAGGTTGGAAGACCTAGACACCTGTATGGTAAGCCGCGGCCCCTGCGGGTGCCCTCCCAACCCTTCTCCGCCACACACACATTGTGCAGTGCCCCTGGTTGGATTTTAAAGTCTCATTGTTTGAAATCAGACACTTTTCAGAACTTGGGGAGAGCCATTGGAAACCACATGCACGAAGCAACTTCCGGTTTCAGAAAACACGTGTTGCGCTGATGTGTGGCCAGGAGGAGGCTTGCACCTCCCAGATGGAACCTCTCTGGATGACTCAGTGGGGAGTGGCCTTTCTTGGGGTCTGGTGGCTTCTCAGGGTCTGATGGTTGCATTAGTTTGAATTTCTGTAAAGACCCAATATGCGCAGTTGAACTAGGGAAGAGTTGGGGCCCCAAGTTAGGCTTAGACGTTGGCTTAATTTGGATTGAAGGGTTACTTCTAAGGTCACAGAACATAATAGATATCATTGATCTCTTTGGAAAAATATTCAGTGTTCAGTCAAAAACTGTTAAATTTACTGGCCACTTTAAAAACAACCTGAATTCATAAGGACGGGGTTCTTTTGGTGGTGGTGGGAGCTTGTTTTGTTTTATTTTAAGACAAGGTGTTTCTTGATAGTCTAGGTTTACCTGGGGACTAAATAAGCCACTCAAGCTGGCCGTGAAGTCATGGCAGTTTTCATGGCTTATGCTTGGGATTACAGGTGTGAGCCCCCATAAAGTTCAAGCCAAGAATTCTTTTTTGTTATTGTTGTTGTTGGTCTTTTATTCTGTTTTTGAGACAGGGTGTATGTAAGTAGCTTGCTGACCTCAAATTCCTGTATGTAGAGGATGACTTTGAATCCCAAATCTTGATTCAGCTTCCCAGGCACTAGGATGGCAAGTGTGCTCACCATACCCTGCTTTGATGTTTCTCAGATGTGGTGGCGCACGCTTTTAATCCCAGCACTCAGATGCAGAGGCAGGCAGGTCTCTGTGAGTTTGAGGTGGCCTGCTCTACAAAGCAGGTTGCAGAACAGACAGGGCTATTGCACAGAGAAACTCTGTCTTGAAAAACAAAACAAAAAAAAAACATTAATAACAACAACAACAAAAAACAATGTCAGAAAGAGGATCTTTCTAAAAAGGGGGTGGGATGGGGTGGAGAAATAGCTTAGTAATTCATAGTACTAGCTGGCCTTTCAGATGAATGGAGTCAGTACCCAGCTCGTAACCACAAAAACTTTAGCTCCAAGGAATTGGTCACCTCGGTTATCCACAAATATGTAGATGCACACAGACATTACACACACACAAACACACACACACACACATAAATAAGATATATATGTACAAAATATATTTGTCCACACCACCTGCTCCTTGCATACAGCAGGGTATCTCGGGAAATCAAGATGGCCAAACTGCAGCTTTCTTATCCACGCTCAGGGTCTGAAAGGTATAGTTCCTGTGTTACTGATTAATTATCCCTAATTTGTCACTCCTTCTAACATAGTACCTTTAAACACTGCCGGGGCGGGGGGGGGGGGGGGGGGGGGGGGGGGGGGGGGGGGGCGTTGGGGCGGAGGTGAGAAGGCGGTGTCTGTGGCTCCGGCTTGGCATCGCCAGCTCACTAATTGTCTGCTTTTCTCTCAGTTATTTTAACGAGTGTCAGAGCAGTTCAAAATCAAGAGAGACATTGCTGCTGAAGAGCCATTCCTCTCCTACTGCTGCTTGCTTGGAGGAGAATTGGAGTGGCTTGAATTAACTGGGACCCCACTTTGCAGACCCTGTCTCCAGCGATAAAGCAGCGATTACTTCCCGCAGTGCTTTCCAGCCACATAATACAAATATATAACCTTAAGTTTTTGAATGCAGTCTAAAATTTAGTGAAGGTGTACTTGACCTGAGCAAGATACCATTTTTTTTTTTAAACTAATTTAAGGCAATCGCTTCATTTTCTAATACCAGCAGTTCACGTGTATGGAAGTTCAGACAGCATTTCCTGTAGCTCAAGCTGGACCTTCAACTTCTGTGAGACCGACAATGACTGTGAACCTCTGGTCCTCCTGCCTCCATGACGTCAGTGTTGTATCGCAGGCATAGGTCACCATGCCAGGTTTTTGACAATGCTTTTTCTCTTTCTCTTTGTGTGTGCTTGTGCAAGTGTGAGTACACACATCTGTGTTGGTGTGTGCGCGTATGGAGGACAGAGGCCAAACTCAAGTGTCAGTCAGTGGGCACTGTCTGCCACTGAGGATGTGGGCTTGCTGGTTCCTGGCTCGGCCTCTGCTGAGATACAGCTCCATGCCACTGTGTTCGACTTTTTAACTGGGCTCTGGAACTGGAGCTCAGGTCTTCTTGCTTTGAAGAAGGCTGAACCACCTAGCTCGTCAAACCCAGGAGTTATTAGTTAAATGGTTTGCTGGCAAGGCTGCTAACCACAGGCTGTGGTCAGCGTGTCTCCTTTACAACTAGCTGCACTAATGTGAATTGCACACCAGATGGTCCACATCGTGACTGTTAAGTTATTCCTTGCAGTTTTATTCCGTGACAGACTTTTCTTGTGGATAGCACTTTGGAAAGAGGAGATGTGACAACTTTTTAGTTACTAGGTTCACCAGCACCCCCAACCCCCAGGGTTTGGTTTCATTTCTATTGTTGTGAAAATACTCGAAAAAGGGAAGAGCTTTATTTCAGCTCACAATAGAAATACTGTGTGTGTGTGTGTGTGTGTGTGTGTGTGTGTGTGTAGACAGGCTGTCCTAGAACTCCTGATCCTCCAGTCTCTAGTTTCTTAATGCTTGAATTATCCTTGTGTACCCACTATACCTCCAGAGGGAGGAAAAAGTTGTTGTTTTGTTTTTAGAGGCAGAGATTTTTGTCTTGGTTCTGAATTCAATGATATTTAAATTTGGGGAAACATCGTCTGTAGGTACTAGGAATGAACTTGGTGTACAGCAAAAGGGTGTGCCTATCAAAGGGGAAGACGATGGGTGGTCCTTAAGGGAGACCTGTTATGTAGGTGATAGACAAAAGAAAGGCAGGAACTATGGTTACAGGCCTTCAGAGGAATTTAGGATTTTGGTATGGTAGCATATGCCCATAATCCCAAAGGTGAAAGAGGGAGGGTCCAGGATTCTAGGCTAGGCTGGGCAACACGAACCCTTGTTTCAAGATAAGCTGATAAGTAAAGCACAAGCCCAGGGGAGGAGCAGAGGTACTGTCTGCTGCTCAAGTCTGATGTAGTGATGAACTGTACTGATGTACTGATAGAAACTTTGGGTCAAAAGTTTTTATCCATGAAGCGTTCGTTGTGTGCTTGGTATTCTTGGCTTCCCATGGTAGGTAATGAAGCTTCCACCAGGCTTGCAACACTGAAAGGCACCACCACAGTGCTAATTTGGGTAGCTCTAGCAATTGGCACTCATGCAACTTCAACTCTCGGATCTTTTTAGATGTTGGAAGGCGGGAATGTACCACCCCTATGAGATTTGTCATTGACTAGGTGTGGTGGTGCATTCCTTTAATCCCAGCACTTGGGAGACAGATAGAAGGATCTCTGTGAGTTCGAGGACAGCCTGGTCTACATAGAGAGACCCTGTCTCAAAAACAAATAAAAACCATGCTATTATGCTATTTACATGTTTTGTATCACTGCTGATTTCATCCCCAAAATTTCATTGTTACAAAAGAAATAGCCAGGTTTTAACCAAGAGTAATGGAAGTTCCCCACAGTGTACTCCGTACTCTTAGACACAGTTGTGTGCTTACTAGAACTTACTGTCAGTATTTTTAGTTTAAAAATTCAGAGCTGAATGAGTGCATTTGAATATAAAAGGCTACTAGAGCCTAAAGAATAGTAATTGTGTTATTCAGCCATATTCCAATTTCATTTTTTCTTCATCCTAATTTACTCATTTAAAAGGAGATCTGTCTTATATGTGCCTAAGCTCACTTTGGATTGAAGTGGTTCTTCATTAATAAACCTGAATACAATGGGAAAGTGTGTTTTAAGAGAGGGGTGCCTGTTGCTACGGAGACAGAGAAGACCACTAGGGGAGGGATGTTGTCAAGGAAGGCTTCCTGGAGGAAGATTCTAAGCATTGTTACTTAGGTGCACAGTTACTGATGGTACCCTAACATTTGGAAAAGAAGCTGGTGGAGAAGAGAATGAGTAAGTCAACCCAGGAGAGAGCCACGGGGGCTTGGGATGAGGAGACAGCTTGAATGCCGGTCCTTATAGTTAGCAAGACTAACAGGAAGAAGGACTGCCGAGGTGGAAAGGGAAGCCCAAGCCAATTCATCACACACAGCCTCGTCGTGCAAGGGGGGTGGGCTGGGCGGTTTGGGCAGAGTCAGATGTTAGTGCTGTCCACTGAGATGCTAACAAGGCCCTGGGTGAGCTGCTGGCTGTGGGAAATAACACAGGGCTCTGGACTCAGTGGGCAGCTCTGAATTGATAGCAAGCCACACCCATGTAAGTTCACGTTTCAAATACGTGCCCCATGCTAGCTTTGCTGTCTGTATCCTTTGCCTGGCCGGCACGCTCAGTTTGTAAAGATTCTCGTTGGTGCTGTGATGAAGCATTCCGTTCTGTGCTTTGTGGCCTGTCCCCCAAGTAACTGAAGGAGTTGATGCCCTGTGAGCAGTTACTTGAAATTGAAACCCTAAATGGTGGAGACTCAGCAAAGGCTCTTCTGGGGAGAATAAGAAACCTCTCGTATGTGCACTAAACCACTCATGTTTTGCTATAAAACAATACCGTTGGAAACATATGGGAAGTTTGTTTGACAGGATATTTACCCAACTCTTCACCATAGCTTGGCTATAAATCTTGAATTTGTTTTAAGCAAGCTCAAAGCAAATGAAAAATAGCTGACAATATTGCTACGTTCTTGACCTATTCTTTCATTGGTGAAATAGGTGCTGCAAAAGTATTTCCTGAAATGGGCATGGTGTTGCATACCTGTGATCCTAGGATTTAGGGAGGGGAGGAGAGACAGAGACAGGCTGATCCCTGGGGTTTGCTGGTCAATCAGGAAAGCCAGTCCAGCGA